TCATCTGACCTTTTTACTTGATGCTAACATTTTTAATCATAAACATGAATGAGCTAATTAAAATACATAAATATGTAAATGTTTAATTATATTTTAAAACTATCTTTATTGTAAATTACAATTAAATTTTAATTTAATTAACTTTAAATAGAACAACAGACTTTTTTTCCAGTGAATTCTAAGCTTTAAATTCAAAATGTGAGTACAAAACAGACTGTGTACGTACTCCTACCTTAAAAGCAGAAGAAACACTAAAACAGCCTCAAGCTAAAACAAGAACAGCAACACCAAGGTTAAAAAAAACCAGATTTACATTAAGTAGATACCTTCTATGTTTGCTTTGACAATTACCTTGGGAGAATGTAAGCAGTCACTAATTACAGTAAATAAATGCAACTGCATATATTTTAGAATATATAATCCTATCATGTGCAAATTCTTATTATGAAGAATTGGAATTGTGTTTACTCATATGAATCGCCTGAGAATTCTGAATTCTTTAGCAATCCATACAGTTCATTTATATCTTTTTCATAATGGTGGATTTTGGATTGACCCACTTACCTTTAGTGTATAAGAATTCCAGTAAAATGAGTTAATAGAAACTCATTCTAACAAAGTCCCTAGTAAAATAAAGTAGAAGCAAGCACAGACAAGGAACATTTGGAAAAATAATATTTGAAGTCTTGGGTGATAGTTCTTATTTTTTAAGAGGTCAGGCTAGGTATAGTAGAATGAGGGATAAAAAACAACTGTCTTTAGAGAAAATTTAATGAAGTACACTTCAAACACTTTAATCTCTATAGTTGCTTTAACTATGCATTTGTGAATTCTCTCTCATTTAATTCACGTCTTACACAGGAAGTAAATTCTTTGCTAATTCTAAACCCCTGAACCACCATCTTTAAAAATATTCTCCTGAGACAAAATAGATTTTCTTTGACCAGAATGATTTAATTGGCATACAACAAACCTATAGCCAAGATCTGTACGTTCAGTAAAGATATTGAAGTGTAGCTCATTTTCTTGGTGTTACAATAATGAATCCCTGCCCATTTTAAGTTATTTTTCTTACCCCCAGTGTAGAAAAGTTAAGACTATTCTAACTTTCACTTCTTAGTTTTTGTTATTAAAAATCAAGTTGAAGTAACAAGGTCAGCTTCTGTCAAATATTTAACATTCAACTATTTAAAATGTAACAACTTAGCCCTGGCTGGTGTTGCTAAATGGTTAGATCATAGCCCCACACATCAAAGGGTCTCGGGTTCTATTCTAGGTCAAGGACATATACTTCCCTTGCAGGTTCAATCCCCAGTTCGGTCAGGGCACCCGTGGGAGGCAACCAATGAATGTGTCTCTCTCACATCTAAGTTCTCTCTCCCTCTCTATATCTCTCTTACTCCCCCTCCCTCCCACTCTTCCATTCTCTCTAAAAATCAATGGAAAAAAATATCCTCAGATGAGGATTAACAAAAAATAAAATAGAAATAAACATAAAAATGTAACAACTTGCGTATGGGGAAACCTGAATACACTTACTTTTTAAAAAAATATTTTTATTGATTTGAGAAAAAGAGAAAGGGAGAGGGAGAGACAGAAATATCGATGAGAGAGAAACATTAATCGGCTGTCTCTCGCTACTGGGGATCAAGCCTGCAACCTGGGCATATGCCCTGACTGGGAACCAAACCAGCGACCTCTTGGTTCATGGGTCAAAGCTCAACCACTGAGCAACACTGGCCGGGCAATACTTATTTTTATTTCTTCAATTTTGACACACAAAGTTATTTACTTCTTTTTGTTTTTAACTTTAACTTTATATTATACCAAATTAAAAATACTATTAACATAATAATCTTTGAAAAACAAACAAAGTTTTAGGAAAAGTCATCCATGGATAAAAGTTAAAGAAAAAATTAATTTTTATAATAAAAGGTTATGAAAGGGTTTCAAAAATAGGTACATGAAAATACATAGAAAAATCTCCAGAAATTCTAGTAAAATGAACTTCACTAGTCTAAAACCAGATTGTTTCTATTTCTAGATATTTAGGAACAGCATTAAAGCATTAATATCTATTAAGTTATTCCTAGTAAGAAATACAATGAAAGAAAACAGATCTTGTGCATGTGTAAATATAAATTATCCGCCAATTAAAATAAATGTCTTATAAAAAGTTGAAATGTTAATATTCACTCTTCAAATGAAAGAATTATCAACAGAAATAAGTGTTACTAAATGTTTACACAATTCATTTTTAACATAGGCAATACCATTTTTTGTGAATCAATAAATGCCAATTTTTACATGGGACAACACACACAGAACCAGCACAAACCTTTCATTAAAATAATTGCCAGGACCAATACTGTATGTGTCCAAATTAAGAAACCTAAATAAGAGATAGTCCAGGACCTCTAATGTGGCAAATAGATAAATGCCTAACTTCTAAACACTGGACTTTCAATTTTTCAACCAGAGCTCCTGACTGCTCACCTGCTTGCCCCCAACTCACAGCGATGTTTAAAGCTGAGCCCTCTTCTCCAAACTGCACTAAGAGCACAAGAAGTAAAGGCTTCAGGGAATGTGAATAGACATCGCCACAGCTAGCTTACATTTCTCTGTGACATGTCAAAGTAGCATATTTCTTTTTCCTACTTTTACCTGTTATCTCCTTGTGTTCTCACGCTAACCCCAGAGTTTGCCAATTTACTATTATTCCCACTTCAAAGACTAAAAACCTGAGATGGGAAAAACAAAGCTTGCTTTGATACAGTTGGCAAATGACAGGACCAGGATGCCTTCACATCATCTCTAGCTTCAAAATTCTCTCAACCCAGTGTTTTCATGATTTCAAAATTATGGCTAATAATCTAAGCAAATTAACCCACTGCTCATCCCTGTCCATATCACCTTGTAAAGAGATCACTGTTTTTATCAATTCCTAAGCGGCATTAGGATATGCCAGATGATGTTCAAAATTATATGTTCAAGATGGCATCTTAGATAATTCCTCAAATTTTAAGATGTCCCCTGAGCATTAGTTAATCAGTAATTTCCAACCTTTTCCCTGTTATAACACAAATAGAAAATGATAATATGTGTACAGCTGACCAGTCAGGAGGTCCCAGGAGGTCCATGCAAGCCCTGCGCAGGCACTCTGGGGATGGTGGACACTGTATGTTGCACAATGCCAAGGCACACACCTGGCAAACTCTGATTTTCAGTTCTAAAATTCCCACCATATGTCACACAAAGGCATATAAATCTGAGAAGTAATGAAGAGAAATGACAGTGAAAACCTCAACTCCTACAGACAGCAGGACTTAGGACATGTCCACTCAGCATCCTGTAGGGCAGCGGTTCTCAACCTGTGGGTCGCGACCCCTTAGGGGGTCGAACGACCCTTTCACAGGGGTCACCTAAGACCATCGGAAAACACATATATAATTACATATTGTTTTTGTGATTAATCACTATGCTTTAATTATGTTCAATTTGTAACAATGAAAATACATCCTGCATATCAGATATTTACATTACGATTCATAACAGTAGCAAAATTACAGTTATGAAGTAGCAACAAAAATAATTTTATGTTTGGGGGTCACCACAACATGAGGAACTGTATTAAAGGGTTAGCATTAGGAAGGTTGAGAACCACTGTTGTAGGGACTGTGGACAAATTATACCCAATTCTGCCAGGTGTTATGTAGGAGCTACCCACAGAATCAGAATTAACAAAGGAGAGTTTAATGCTGCAAATCTACCACCACTGTAAGAAAAATCCTAAAAAACTAATGACTCTATAAGGTTTTCCCAAAGACTAAAGGAGATTATAGCTTGTTTTAAGAGACAAGTCTTAAATTAAGACTTGAGACTTTCTAGGTATACTACTTTAAAAAATATTTTAATTGATTTTTTTTTAGGGAGAGGGAGAGAGAGATAAAAACATCAATGATGATGGACATTATGCATGCCCCCAACTGCAGCCATGTGCCCTTGACTGGAATCAAACCCGGGACCCTTCAGTCTGCAGGCCAACGCTCTATCCACTGAGCCAAATCAGCTAGGGCTAGGTATTATTACTTTTTAAAGGAAAACAGAAAACATATAAAATCTTAACACTGTTTTTGGACAAACACAGTATTTAATATCACACATATTCCAGTACCTAAGCAGCTTTGGTGGGTTTCTTTGCTCTTTTTCAGTCCTTTTTTTTATCGTGTTTCCCTATACACTTTTTCCTTCCTAGAGCTCCATTTTTACTAAAGTATTTTTATGTATCAAATGGTCTTGATTGGGGGGGTGGGGGGTAGGGAACCTAGTGCTTTAATCTGAGCAAAAAGCACAGAATGAATAGCCCATTAAAATGCACAAGACTAAATGTGAATTTATCTGTTTATTTAGAGCTTTTGGTGCTTAAAATTTCAAATAAAATGATCTAATTGCTGTAGTTTTAAAAAATTAAACATTTTTCCATTCTAGTGTGGGAAAAACTGCAGCACAAATCAACACAGTAGACTAGTGAAAACAGAATTACATTTAAAAACAAAATTTAGAAAACATATGTCCTTCTTTTAAATTAGTAAGTAGAAAATGTAATTGTTGATAGTAAAAGCCAACAAGAATGAAATACAGACATTTGTATCTTATTATGCTTGCATGCATCATAAAGGCAACAGGCAACAAAAAAGTTAAGTTTTAAATTTTTACTACACATTAATATAAACATATAAATAAGAAAAAAACTCCCTTTATTTTTAAATTCAAAATTTTCTTCTATATTCAGTAAAAACAAAATTTTACCAAAAGTATATGACAGTTGTCAATACAAATCTCTCAGTTCTTTAAGATATACTTTTCATTCTGATACACAGTTTAGGTATTATGATGCATTTTTAAAATGGAACAATTTAATGTAAAAACCCAGGTTGCTTCAATGTAACAAGAGAAGATTTAAAAGCTAGCACTATCATATCGAATTGCAGCATACATACTGTATTGCCCCGTGCTAGTCTGATATATGCTAGTCGGTACTGCCATGGTAGCGATGTTAGGTGGTGTTCCTTCTCCCTCTGATTTTTCTTCTTCAATCTTGGGAACACCAGACACATCAGAGGAAAGTTCATTCAGTATTTTTCTAAAACATAATTTAACAATGCAAATAATTAAGATACAGTAATGAGACTTAGAAAAGCTATAGTGAAAGAATTGGTTTAATGTATAATTAATTACTCTCCCTTTTTTTAAAAGAAAGTATCATTACAGTGGAAACTTAACTTACCGATAAGAAGGTCTTCGTGAAAGGGTTTCTCTGCGTTTATGAGAATCAATTACACCTTCTGATTCTGTAGACTCATCTGTCTCTGTGATTGTTGCTACCTATAATACAAGAGTTTCTGAAATGCATCATAAAAGATATGATCTCCTTTATTTAAAAAAGTGTGACTATGGCCCTGTTTGGGAAGCTCAGTTGGTTGGAGCATCATTCTGTGCACCAAATGTTGTGGGTTCAATTCCCATCAGGGCACATACATACCTAGGTCGCAGGTTCAAGCTTCAGTCAGGGCTCATACAGGAGGCAACCAATTGACATGTTTCTCTCACATTGGTATGTCTCTGTCTCTTTAAAAAACATATCCTCCGATGAGAATTTAAAAAAAAAAAAAAAGTGTGACTAAGGGTCTCTGTGTGCAGTATTAAGTCAGGTACTCGGAAAGTGTCCAGCAAACAGAACACACTGAAACCGCACTAATGGAGCTTACACTTGGCTTAAGAAAGGAAGCACAGACACAAACATTTCAGTTGTAGAACAAGTGTGTCTGGAAAGGAATGGTGAAGATAATAAATAAATATTACAGAAATGCAAATAAGAGTGGTTAGAACGTCAAGTGAGGCTTCATAGGAAAGGCCTAAATATAATATACAGCAGACCCAACCCTGAAAGCACTCTCACATATCCAGCAGGGAGTGAGTGAGCCAGGAACAGAGGCAGAAAAAAGCATCTTGATTTCACTGCCCTCTTCACAACACCACAGCTGACTGGAGCTGGGTTTTCAAATCAGACATTAAATAGGTCCAAAGAAGAAAGAATATTTAAGCAGGTAAAAAAGTCCATTGGGGCTTGATAATGGTAGGTCTTGAAGGTCAAAATAAGGAATTTCTCCTTAAAGGAAAGATCAGAGTTTTGAGCATGATTTCATTTTTTTTTTCAAGTCAATAAAATGATTATTAAACAAAGTCAGAGAACTAAAATAAAAAATCTCTCTACAACATGACTACTCTCATTATATTCAGCCATTTCTCATTCAAGGCCTAAGATAGTTCTAAGTTCACAAAACTCACTTTACTTAATATTACAATTACATGGGAATTTTATTTAGACAAAATCAAAAGAGCTTATTAAAATCTGAACAACACAAACAGGAATATATACTTCCCAAGGCATATAGGATGAGCATACATGTTCACCTACACATATGACCATGCATCTCTGGTCATGGACATCCCACAAATAAGCATACTCGCCAATGAATAGAATATATTAGAAAAAATGTTTCAATCAGATAATCATGTACCACCACCAAAAATTTATCACTTTACACTGGGCTTTCACACATCTCCCATATAATCATAAGACCCTCCTTATGTGAGCTGTTAATTTACCCATTTCAGAAAGTTGAAAACTGAAGTTCACACAGAGATTGACTTGTCCATCGTTCAAAAGGTAGGAATTTAAAGAAAAGATCCACCTCTACCAAAATATCTATTTCACAAAATCCAAAAAACCTACTGAGTATAAAAGATAATACTTTCTTCCAATACCAGCCAGGTTAAAACTAAGAAATATCTGCACCCCAATAAAAGTCATAATACAAAAAGAAGAGTAGAAAGATTTTCTTGTTTTATTATTGGAGTCAGAAAGAGTCAGAAACTCTTGGAACCAAGAGTCAGAAACTCTTGGAACAGGAGGATAAAAATAAAAGACAAGCCCTAGCCGGTTTGACTCAGTGGATAGAGCACTGGCCTGCAGACTGAAGGGTCCCACGTTCGATTCCGGTCAAGGGCATATGCCCAGGTTGCAAGCTCAATCCCCAGTAGGGGGCATGTAGGAGGCAGCCGGTCAATGATTCCCTCTCATCATTGATGTTTCTATCTCTCCCTCTCCCTTCCTCTCTGAAATCAATAAAAATATATTCTAAAAAATAAAAAATTAAAGACAATACTGAGAATTATTTTTTTTAATATATTTTATTGATTTTTTACAGAGAGGAAGGGAGAGAGATAGAGAGTTAGAAACATCGATGAGAGAGAAACATCGATCAGCTGCCTCCTGCACATCTCCCACTGGGGATATGCCCGCAACCCAGGTACATGCCCCTGACCGGAATTGAACCTGGGACCCTTCAGTCCGCAGGCCGACGCTCTATCCACTGAGCCAAACCGGTTTCGGCAATATACTGAGAATTATTAAAACACCTGGTGCTGCAAAGATAACTAAGCTTTTAATGAATGTGGATTTATTACTTCAAACATCATGTTGCAGCCTTCATCCTTATTTTGCAATAAACTGTATTCAAATATGCAGGGGAAAAACAAGACTAATTAAGTATGTGCTTCTATTTTTCCCTCAAAGAACTTTTGTTACCAATTAGGTTCAAATAAGTCTAGCATCTAAAGGTCAATTACAAACTGACCTAAAAAAAAGAGAGAAGTAAATTCAGTACACAAGAAAAGTATCTATACTTAATAATTTATATTGATGATGCATTTAAAAAAAGTTTGTTTCAAGAAATGCTAAGGGCCCTAACCGGCTTGGCTCAGTGGAAGAGCGCCAGCCTGCGGACTGAAGGGTCCCAGGTTCAATTCCGGTCAAGGGCATGTACCTTGGTTGTGGGCACATCCCCAGTAGGGGGTGTGCAGGAGGCAGCTGATCAATGTTTCTCTCTCATAGATGTTTCTTACTCTCTATCCCTCTCCCTTCCTCTTTGTAAAAAATCAATAAAATATATTTTAAAAAATGCTAAGGATTTAAAAACAACCTTGAGCCTGGCTGGCATGGCTCAGTGGTTGAATGTTGACCTATGAGCCAGGAGGTCACGGTTCAATTCCTGGTTAGGGCACATGCCCGAGGTCGTGGGCTCGATCCCCAGTGTAGGGTATGCAGGAGGCAGCAAATAAGTGATTCTATCTCATCACTGATGTTTCTATCTCTCTCTCCCTCTCATTTTCTCTCCAAAATCAATAAAAAATATTTTTTTAAAAAGGGGGAAAAAAAATAAAAACAATCTTGATAATAAGAAATAATAAAATACATCTCCAGATCACAACCATAAGAATAATCACATCTATAAAACCAAGGTTAAATCTGAAAGGAGTATATGATGAATAAACGTAAGGCCAAGAGACAATACATAATTATTTTCTATGGATTATGTATATTGAATTAAAAATAATATACTACCTACTAATGTGATTATTCATGAAAATAGCATCAGTGTTATAATCTTTATATTAACATGTTTATCAGACATCTCCAAAGAATCCTCAAAATATTTTTAAGCACCTTTGGAGAACTTTGCTAAATAAATCCGAGTTTGAGCAAAGAGTAACAATGTGAAGAATTATTTATCTGACATTATTCATTCTGCAAATTAAAAGCTGACAACAAAATGGCAACTCTTAAGTCAAATCTATGGGTCTAGCAGAGTACAATGCACTTCACAGGTAAAAGGAAAATTCCTCCAATTCTCTAATAAAATGACTTGATCATAAAAGCTACCCAAGGAAAAGAGGATAAATTAGTAAAGAAAAAGCACAAAAAAAAAGCTCAAGCTCAAGAAAGTCAAATACAAATCACCCAGGAAGCTAACCTGAACAGTTTGTATCTGTGGTGACTGAATAACCGATGGCTGTGGTGTCTGAATTACGCCCTGGACATGTACAGTTTGGCCCGAAGGTAACTGTACTAGAGTTATAGCTGGGGAGCCTCTTCCGGTGCCTGATCCAGCTACAGAAACCTGCAAAAATGAGCATGATTGAGGATTAAGGCTGAACCTTTTTGTTGTTCTTTTTGCTTTTTTAAAAAAAGAAATACCATTACTATGATAACTGGACTATTTTTCCTGCTTCCAAGAAATAATAAGCAATCCCGGGTACTTACCATTAGGAAGTGGTCACTGTCCTGGAACAGTCATTCTCTGATGTGATAGATAGTAAAGAACCCATGCTCCTCACTTTCGGTTCCCATGCTTCGGTGGCTAAGAATGTTCTAAGCACAAAGTTCTAAAGCAGTTAAACTACCTCACTACGACCTCAGGACTACTAACAGGCCAGAGTATAAATTACCCTCTCTAACTTCTTAAGAGAAACTGGAGACAGAACTTAAATATGGTGAATTATTGTTTAATAAATGAAATGTTCGGCGTAGTGTTCTAGAATTATTCCAGATGCAAACTAATGCCTTTTCTCAATACTGATGTAAATTGCAAAGTTACCTTAATGCTCCCCGCCGCCACACACACACAAATTATGAAAAAGGCACAGGCCAAAGAAATCCCAAGGTCTCTCATGCTCTTAGTGTTTCTGACCCATAAAAAGCTCATGCCTTGGAGCTTGTGTGACCCTCTCACACGTTTCCTCTCCCCTAGCTTGGGCATCCAGATAGAAAGCTAGAACCATCACTTAACTTGCACAGAAAGGAGACAATACAGATATCTTGATTGCTTTTGACAGAGATCCCTACTGGAAAAATAATACCTCCATGCCTCTGGTTTCAAAATCTGCCAAGTTTCTATTTAGTAAACAATTTGGTCAGCATACTCTTAGAAACTGCCACATTTTACTAAGTTCCACTATTCATTATGACTTACTCAATAAGCTGCCAGTTTTCATTATGAGTGGTAATGGAATCAAACAAATTTTGCAGAAAGCATCTGTGGGACCTCACTTTAAGAAACAGCAGTAATTGCCAATCTACTTATACTAATACTTTCAGAGAATTATTAAAAACTGGGTTTAAAACAACTAAGATTGCCTAGCCAGTGTGGCTCACTGGTTAAGCATCATTGACCTACGAACCAGGAGGTCGATTCCTGGTCAGGGCACATGGCCAGGTTGCAGGCTTGATCCCCGGGGGGGTAGGGGGGGTGGGGGGGGCATGCAGAAGGCAACCAATTAATGATTCTCTCATCATTGATGTTTCTCTCTCTCCCTCTCTGTTCCTCTCTAAAATCAATAAAAAATATGTATATATTTTAAAACAACAAACTAAGATTTTTTTTTACAATATCATGTCCCTGGAAAGTAAACAACTTTAGCAATCCAAAAATAAGAAAATCTTTATCCATGCACTAGAACCTATGTGATGAGCATTAGGGTAAAAAGCAAAATTGCTAAAACTAACACCTAAGAAACAATAAATAGCACGCCAAACAGTTGAGAGCCAAGTGCCCCACTGTATGGTATATAGGCCATGAAAGTCATCAGAATTGTATAGGCCATGAAAGCCCAGAATAGAAAGATTAGTATGGACCTGAACAATATGTGAAGGCTTTGTATAGAAGCCATAGCCTCAATATGAGCCTGGAACAGTGGGACAGAAAAGTGAGAAACTAGGGCAAAGACACTCAACATGCAGTGTGTCCCCCAAAAAATATATACACACTTTAACAGCTGATAGCTCAATTTTGAAAATGAAATGTATATTAATAAACACTGCCTTTACAATTATTCAAAGTGTATGTATATATTTCTTTGGGATACCCTGTATATACTAAGGGCAAATTCATCCCACATGCTCTGGGGTATTATTGTCTACCTTAGATTTTGGGGAAAATAAAAAGGTTATCACATAATGGAACCAGTAGACTTAACAAGAAGTTAAAAAAACAAACAAGCAAACAAACAAAACCATTGGGAGGATCTATTCTTTAAATGTTACCAGCACAAAAGGAAAATTAAAAAAAAGGTATCCACCTCTGTGTGAATCAATTACTAAAAGGTACTCCTTTCGCCATACAACTAATTGTCAAACTTTTCAGTCTCAGGACTCTCCTTTACACTCTTAAAAATTAATAGTGACCTCGAAGAGCTTTTGTTTATGTGGTTTATATCCAGTAGGGTGCTATAAATGTTTAACAACCAGATCTTGGGAAGGGAGAATGCTGATTTGTACCTTTTGATGATTTCTGTAATGTAAATACTCCTACTATGGCAGATTTCAAGCCAACAGCAGATGACACTGAATCCAAAGTTGGAAAAAGTGCACATAGCCAGCTCTCATGAGTCAGCGCCAGCCCAGCACTGGGTATGTGTAATGATATTAACTATATTAGAAATTAAAACTGAGAAATTTAAAAAATACTTAGTAACTCATTAAAGAACAATAAATCTATTTTTTTAAAATATATTTTATTGATTTTTTACAGAGAAGAAGGGAGAGAGATAGAGAGTCAGAAACATCGATGAGAGAGAAACATCGATCAGCTGCCTCCTGCACATCTCCTACTGGGGATGTGCCCGCAACCCAGGTACATGCCCTTGACCGGAATCGAACCTGGGACCTTTCAGTCCGCAGGCCGACGCTCTATCCACTGAGCCAAACCGGTTTCGGCAACAATAAATCTATTACAAGCTACAAGTAATATTTCATGAAGAATTAAATTTTCTAAAACAAAAAGTAATGACAAGTGTTTCACATTTTTTTAATATAAAAATATTTTGTGAATGGTTTAACCGAAACAGCTAGATTCTTATACCTACTTCTGCACCGAATCTATTGCAATGTTTTTTTAGTCAGTATGTGGAAAAAAAACTCTAGTTGAACCTCACTCAGACATGATTGGTAAAGGAGGAGTATCTTAATAGCTTTTTCAGAAAAATGTGGATATTGTCTGATATTACACCAAAACTCAACAAGTGGTTGTCTCTTAAAGGTTAGTTGCAATGTGGAATATGAAATCATATCTGTTACATTAAAATCTATGGATCTATATTTTACTTTGCATGATGGTTACCCATGCACAAATTTGTAACATCATGTGGTAGTTACTTGGAAGATATTGCCTCACTGAGTTGAGCAGATAGCCTAAATGCTGACATTTCATTATACACTATCAGAAAACCACATTAATTGAAATAAACATCAATCTCATCAGAAAACTATACATATTGGGAAGCCATCAAGCTCAAAATAGCAGATGCAGGCTTTCCAAAATTCAAAACTTCTGCTTAAAACCTGGAATTTTATCATTGGCAATAAAAACTGTCATTTTCCTTGAAGGGACAAATTCACTTCATTTGCATTTGAGATAAAATATGTTCCAAATAAGTGTAAATAGCCACAGTTTGGTTATTAGACATTCCTTTGAGAAAAATTATGTCCTATGAAAAAAAACTCAGCTAGTTCATCTTGCCACTCAAACAATAACTCAAGTGTTATTTTTTCAAGAACACCATCGGTCTTCAGTATGCAGCAGAAATGCTTTCAGTGATTGTCCTAATTTCATAACTCAGAATATTAAAACATGTACTTAAGGGTCAAGACTCAATACAATTGGTAATAGTTATTGTTTCACCAAGAATATTCCTAAATGAAACTGACTTTTTTTCCCCACTGCAAGTGAATGGCAGTGAAGAAAACAATGACTTCTATCCAGTTTGGTGCCACTGACTTGATTCCAGCTAAGGCACCAACAGTTTTACCCCCCATTATTTTTGCAACATTAGTATAAATGACAACACAGAGAAAAAGGAATATAGATCTTAACATCATTGTGAAAATAGTTTTATCCTCCCAAACCTCCACAAAGAGTCCTCAGAGACTCCCCCAGTGTTCTGTGCACCACACTATGAAAATTGCTGCTCTCTCTTAATGTAGGCTCCAAGCCCTGGCTCACAGCTTGAAGAGCAGGGTGCTGACCCAGGCTGTAATTTCAGCTCCATAGCCAAACCACCATATCCAGTAACCTTGATGGAGATTTCATATGTCAGAGAATAAGCAAAGTATTATATAAATTATACCCAAGAGTACCACAAGTATTCCTAAAGACCAGACTTGTGGATTGAGATGGTAGATAGTGCTCATATTCACTTGGGGGGGGGGGCGGGGGGGATGGCTCAGCTTCAAAGAAATTAAATATTTTGAAGAACTGAAAAACAACTCAAGAAAGAGTCATGGGTTTTTTTATCAGTATACATCATGCTGTAAGTTGCTTTGTCTTTCAGGATTCTAATTTATTAAACAACTGCTCTATCAAAATGGCTTAGTGTCAAGAATACTGCTGTTGCTCAGTCCACATAGCTCGGTGGTTGAGCATTGCCCATGAACCAGGAGGTCACGGTTCCATTCCCATGGGTCGGGGCACGTGCCCAGGTTTCAGGCTCGATACCCAGTAGGGGGCATGCAGGAGGGAGCCAATCAATTATTCTATATCATCATTGATGTTTCCATCTCTTTCTCCCTCTCCTTTCCTCTCTGAAATTAATAAAATAAAATAAAGAATACCTGCTACAAAGAGAAACCAAGATGGCGGCACAGGTAAACACCTAAAATTGCTGCCTCGCACAACCACTTCAAAAATACAACTAAAAGACAAAACAGTCATCATCCAGAACCACAGGAAGGCTGGCTGAGTGGAAATTCCACAACTAGAAGGAAAGAGAAAAGCACACTGAGACTTTACTCAGAGGAGGTGCGGAAGTAAAGTGCAGAGGTACGGAGGCGCACACAGAAAGGTCTGGAAACTGAGGACGCCATTGTCTTTTTCAATCGGGAGGGAGTCTCAAGCTCCCAACTGTTCTGAACTCCAGTTACGGACGAGTCTCTGGGGACCCAGACTCATACGCGGAGAAACTGGACGTCTGGCATCGGTCCGAACTCGAGGGCGGCTTTCTCTCAGAGGAGCTTGCAGCCATTATCGGGACACTGAGATGCGGGGCCTCTTAGGGTAGAACTGAGGAGTAGCCATAGCTGTTTGCTCCGCCCTGTTGATTCCCTGAGACCCCGCCCCACCCAAGC